CAGGATAATTACCCCAGCTACCAGGTGGAGACCTGGAGGCTAAGGCAATTTTCCTGTGCCTGGGACTAGAACTACAGGAGATTGATTCCCACGGACTCAGTAGCTTCAGGGGTAGAAACTGTAGATAACCTTTAGAGACTAACTGCTGAGCTTTGTTTCTGTATTATCGGCTATTGCAAGATAGGGCCACATTCCAATGTCCAGCAGCTTGTGACTGGGAACCACTGCGGGCTGTTCCCAGCCTTTAGAATTTAGAATTTAGAACAAAGGAAAATTCTTGTGGTTTAGGCCTTTAAAAGAACTGCCTACACCTGGAACGGTGTAGAGTCCACCTGCATGTGGTGCTCTTGCGACTGTCCTGGCCAATTTTTCAATAAATCCTTGCCTGCTTTTTTTAATCAATCATCAGCCTCCGGTGGTCTTATTCTGAACCCAGGGTTCGACCCCACAACACTAGAACAGGCTGAGAGCACTCTGCAGTGTGAGTGGGGATGGTGCTGCAGGGACTCTGAGGAGTGGAACAGGAGATGAGATAGGTATTGGGTTTGAGTGTGAAGACAATGAGTGGGAGGAAGGACGCTGGAGGAAAGCTGGGAATTGTGGGAAACTCTATTCGGGGAGCCTGAGGTGATGGAACTGAAGGCGGGGATGAGAAGGGAGAAAGGGAGAAGCCCACCTGGTTCTGACCTCCATGGTCCACACACTGAGAAAGCTCTGAGCTAACCATCAGGTTGGGGACCAAGACCCTGGTCTGAAATTTAGCAACAGCCAGGCACCCATTGGCTATTGTCTTTGAATCAACTTCCTGGTTCTCTGTTGTTAACCACTGCCCCAATTCTTTCTCATTAATAGCCAATAAAATGGAAGGCCCCATTGTCACAATCTAACAAGCTGTGGCAAGTTTTAGTGGACGAAAGGAGACACATGCTAACCTGAAATATTGAAAATTAAATATTTAACTACAAATAGGTTACAGTGGGTAGACATGTCCTAGGCCGATATTTTCCCTGACAAAGATCAACTTAGATCTTCTTTACAGAGCCCATTCGCCTTTTTGCCTCTAAGATAACTTATCTGTAAGATGTCTGGGTAACTTGTAACTTCCTTTTTACCCTGGGCCCCTCAGGGCACAGCAAATGGCACCAGGACATCCCCTCATTGTTATTGTTATCAAGTTAATTGTCAACTGTTAATTATGTTAAAGTATCCTGTATCCATCTCTGTAAAAGAAGCTCCTGTCCATCATTTCACCTTTTACCCTATCCCAGAGGTCCCCCCCCCCCCTTTGCTTTCTCCCGCCTCCTTAATCTATCACCAATGGATTTCATGTGACCCACCTTTGTCCCTCCTTTGATGGCAATGTATAAACACAGTTGTAACCCGCCATTCTCTGGAGTATTCTCTCAATCTGTTGAGGTTCTGCTTCCCAGCATAGGTCGACAGTTGGGCTCAAATAAACTCATTAGAATCCTTTACAAGTTTCAATGGTTTTTTTCTTTAACAGTTTCTATGCCTGAAGCTCCACAAACTGGGGTGGAGATCTTGCTCTGCAGCTGCCCTAGACAAGCTCTACAGATGGGTCCTTTGCTGATTGAACTCCGCCTCCGGCCTGGAGCGCCTGCCTCTACCTCAGTGCCGTCTGCGGAACCAAAAAGAGCTGCCCCCGGCATGGTGGGCAGAACTGTAGGCCCTTTTCACAGCTCTAATCAACCAACCTTCCTGCATTTCAGCGTTTCCCAAAGTGCGGTCCGCGTACGCCCAGGGGTCGGGAAGAGTCTGGTGGGGGTACGCGTTGCACCGGAGTTTGGGGGGGATATGCACTGCACCGTGTTTAGCTGCGCCTAATTCTACATTCTCATGAGTACAAGGGGTACTCAGTGTTACGAAAATTATAGAAGGGGTACACATATGTCAAGTTTGGGAAACACTGCTGAGTGAGTGTATTTGATTGACTACTGAGCTGTTGGCCAATGGCCCAACTATGTGGTCTGACACTTGAAAACCTATAGATTCATTAGACCTCTCTCTCTGGAGCTTCACGCTGTGAAATAAACCACCCCTGCTGACCTGCCCACCGAGGCACTGGGGGAAGGAAGGGGTGCCCGGAAGCGCCTGCTCCCTCTGTGACGGGCAGGACGGCTGACGGGAGCCTGTGCGTGCAGTTACCCCATGTGCCGGGGCCCCTCCCATCAGACATGGCAAGAGCGTCCCTCTCACCCACTAGGCAGCGGGGAGGACTCAGCTGGACGTGGACTTTGACGATTGCCAACGTTTGTCCATTTTTACAAGGAAGGCCATGTAGGAGGGGCATGAGCCTCGGGGATCTCTGGCCCCCGCTCAGGGCTCACCATGCGCCTCACCGCTCTTTAGGGCCCAGAGTTGTGATTTTAGTCCAATTAGCCTACTCAGCCCACCAGTGTGGCCCTGAAGCTGCCGCCTTCTCAGCTGGTCGGGCTGTTTTCAAGCTGAGAGTGGTGTGCCTCTTACTGACGGGGTATCCCGTCATGCTTCCACCATCGAGAGGCTGAAACAGGGTTGACTACAAAGGGTTTTTTACTTCCTTTCTCACCTCCTCAGGCCCAACTCAGCCATGGGATTCTGCAGACCGGAGGAGGAGCATGTCCATGGCCACACGTTGAGTAACACCCAGGATGGAAAGGACCGGAGATTAGAGAAACCTATTTCATAAATTCCTGGACCTGATGCTCCTTTCTTTCCCTAAAAGCCTAACAACCCCAAGCTGGCCTGGCTGGTGCGTCCTCTGGGTGGGACAGCCCAACCATGGGGGCAGGGGAGCCGAGAGATGCACACTTAATTTCAGGCCAGACGCTGGGATTCTCTTGTTGGATTTACATGATCCCAGATTATAAAGATAATGGACACCTGATTGAGTATATTGCTCACTAAGTCTTAAATCCCACACAGACATGATGGGATCTTTGTACTTTTTATTATTAATTTTATTTATTTAAATATATTTTTATTGATTTCAGAGAGGAAGGAAGAGGGAGAGATAGAAACATCAATGATGAGAGAGAATCATTGATCGGCTGCCTCCTGCACATCCCCCACTGGGGATCAAGCCCGCCACCCAGGCATGTGCCCTTGACTGGAATTGAACCTGGGACTCAATCCACTGAGTCAAACTGGCTAGGAATATGATTAATTTTAGAGAGGATGGGAGAGGGAGAGAGATTTTTAAAAAACATCCATGTGAGGGGGAAAAGGAGATGACTGCCACTGGGAAGGAGACTGCAAGATAGTGTGTGAGCGAGAGAACAAAGCAAGAGTGTGTGGTCCCACAGGGAGTTTGTTGGTGAGCTGAGGGACGGCTGTCCTCCAGGAGAAGGTGGGGACCGCTGGACGGGGCTCCCTGACCGGGCAGCCCCACTGCTGCTGGGATCCCTCCCGGAGCCACCGGCTCGGACTGAGACGGCGCCATCTTGAAGGGGAAAGGGAAGCCTGAAAATCTACTACGGCACCCGCCGAACAGCTGCGAACCCAGAGCACCGGCCCCCAGTGACAGAGCACGCGAACTCAGAGGGCTCTGCCCCACGGAAAGGCCAGATTTCGCCGGGGGTGAGGGGAGGTCTCTGGTCCTGGAGGAGAGAAACACTGACAGCTCTGGAGCACTCCACAGGCTGGGCAGAGGAGGAGCAAAAAGAACGACAGTGCCACACATCAACATGAATGAACTAAAAGCTGTTCAAAAGCAAAGCAAGCAAATTGGATGGAGTATATTTCCATTTATGTAAAGTCCATAAACAGGCAACTACGAACCATTATGTCAGTTAGGAATACAGCTGACCCATGACCAATATGGTTTTGAAGTGCATGGTCAACTTTTATGAGGATTTCTTTTCAATTAATACATACAGTACTGTAAATGTATTTTCCGTATGCTTTTAATAACATTTCCTTTTCTTTAGCTTGCTTTATGGTAAGAATAGAGTTTATACTACAAATAACATACAAAATACATGTAAATCAACTATTTATGCTATTGGTGAGGCTTCTGGCCAACAACACGTTATTAGAAGTTTTTGGGGAGTCAACAGTTAATGCAAATGTCCAACAGCTTGGGGGGCCAGGACCCCAACCCCTGCAGTAAGGGGCAACTGTCCATGCTTTTTCTAATGACTAAAAAGCTGACGTTACTACAAATTCCCGAACAGTGAGTGCCCCCAGGGGTGAGGAGCGGCGGGAGGGGAGCACACAGGCGCCGGGAACCTGCCCGTCTTTACCGTCCTCCCAAGCGCACAGACGCGTTTCCATCTGTGTTGTTTCACTGGGAGAGGAGGAAGAAATGGACAAAAGAAAAGCATATGTAAGTGCTACCATTTCCAACAGAGTCTTGGGAAGGTCCTGCACGAGTGGGGGATAGAAAGTGACCATCTGCACGCCTCCGCCACGGCCTCACCCCCCATCTGCACGCCTCCGCCACGGCCTCACCCCCCCATCTGCACGCCTCCGCCACGGCCTCACCCCCCATCTGCACGCCTCCGCCACGGCCTCACCCCCCATCTGCACGCCTCCGCCACGGCCTCACCCCCCCATCTGCACGCCTCCGCCACGGCCTCACCCCCCCATCTGCACGCCTCCGCCACGGCCTCACCCCCCCATCTGCTGCCCTGATGGAGGTAGGACCATCATTGCGAAAGGCCATCCACTTCTCTCCCGCAATCCAAGGTAGCCCGGGGGGTGGGAGCAGGGGGAGGGGAGAAGCACTGGCCAGCCCATATGTTAGTGCTTCATAGAAATCACAATCTACTCATCAACACTGTAATTATTAATCCCACTTCACAGAGAAAAAACTGAACATCACAGAGAATAAAAGCAACGAATAAAGGAAAAATAGCGAGGCTAGTTTCCCAGCCAGAGCTCTCCGCACGGCTATAGTGACCGGGCGGGCGCCCGGCCTCCGGGACGGATGAGCTGGCATTAAGAACAAAAAGGTTCGTTTAAAAAACGTGATCTTACCAAAAAGTACTGAAACTTGACTAATCTTTTATTTTTCTTATTTGACTTCTCAAAAAGGGTGGTAGAGTTAAAAATTTTCTTTGATAAGTTTTTATTATTGTATCCTCTTCTCTATTCTGAGACTTTTCCATAAGAATATTCACTTTAATCTGACCTCTGCGCGGCTGGAAAAGTGGGTAAGCAATGACACTTTCGAACTCTTTTATCTCTTTCTGTATTCGCGCACGCTTCTCTGCTGCGGGCAGCTGGTTCTGGCTTTTTCTCAAGGCTCTTGCCCTGAGCCTCTGCTCTATGAGTTCCCTCCCTCTGGCCATGCGCTCCTGGTGATCTCTAATTTGCATCTGTTCCCTCTTGTTCACCTGTTTTCTCCTCTGTGCATTCTGGACACCGGGCCCCTCGAACACAATCTTCGGGAGCGCTGTCTCCGAAGGGGCTGGCAGGGGCTGGAGAAACGTTTTCTCGGTGAGCTCTCCGGCCTGCGCTGCCTGGCGTATTCGCCTCTCTATGTGTCTCATCTCTCTCTCGGGTACCAAGCACCACTGTTTCTGTCTCTCTGTGCTTTGCGTTGTCTTCCCCTCCCATTTCTTCTCGATCCCATTGCCTATCTCTTGTTCTTTCATCATTCCCACCAATCCTTTACTATAATAAGACTCCACTCGGGCGAGCCAGTAGTCCAGGGAAAGGTCTTGCTCCCTATGGAGTGTTTGATACTCTTCTTGATTTTTTTGAGTTTTCAGTTGTCTTGCTGCTTTTGTATGCACACCACCTAGATTCTATCAAAGGGAAGGGCAGAGCTGTATAGGGTGACTATTTTTTTCCAGTGAAGGTATTTAAACAGGAGTTTATCCTGACTACTGACCCCAAGAAAAGATGCGAGAGACTGTGAGCTCTGAAAGCTGAAGTACTTACTACCAAAATCAATGACTAGCTTTTTAAAAATATAGTGTTGGGAGTTTCCAAAATAATACTGTTATTCAAGTATGGATACAGCTAGGAAACAGTTGCCAGTGTACACACACACTACTTGAGGTGTCACTTCAGCAGAAAGGTTTTAAACCTAAGGTTCTTTCTCTCAGTAGTTCCAACCTGTATGATGTGAAGATGACTTATTTACCAATATTTTTTTCTCCAGTGGCGACTGCTGCCCTGAAGCAATCCTAGGGTCTCTAGATGCTTTAACCCAGGCCAACCTGAAACACAAGGAAAGCAAAGGCGGATTAGAAGGTGGGAGATGTCAGACATGTACTGACTAAACCAAAACCCAACGGCCTTGGCAAGACCAAGGATATTCTGCTTAGAAAGAGTAAACTGCTAATAGGCAAGACTGCACAGGCCACTTCCCCAGGAACGAACGTTCTAGGGCGGGCAACAGTAACAGAATGCTGTTAACGAGAGCACGTCATCCTTTCCTACGAATTAGAAGCATACTTCTTCTTTTTTTTTTTTTTTTAAATATTTTTTATTGATTTTTTTACAGAGAGGAAGGGAAAGAGAGTTAGAAACATTGATGAGAGAGTCGTCGACCAGCTGCCTCTTGCACACCCCCTACTGGGGATATGCCCGCAACCAAGGTACATGCCCTTGACGGAATCGAACCCGGGGCCCTTCAGTCCCCAAGCCGACGCTCTATCCATTGAGCCAAACCGGTTTCGGCTAGAAGCATACTTCCCTTGTGGACTCAACGCAAACATTCTGAATCCTGCAGCAGGGCCTGGGGGAGGGGGAGACAGAGTCCTTGGCGAAGCGTGGCCCAAGCACATCTAGGTCAGTCTGCTCAGGCCCCCGCCTCCCCCGCCTTCTGAGATAACTCTAGAATGAAGTGGTTTGAGTTCATTCTCATTCTGCAGTTTCTTGATTCTGGCCCTCTCCGCCTCTATCAGCAAATATAGCATCTCTGCCTGCTAATGTTTTGTTGTGAAATCCTATTCTTCCTTATACTGCCACTCGTCCTTCACTTTGAATCCATTATGACACCGTTCCCTGTTTACCCTTATGATGGGAAGCTATGCCTACTCTGGTTTATTTATAGAACAGCCTGATGGCAGCACCACTGGTGACTACCAGCTCTCTGTGCCATCCTTGGCCTCACCTCACTTTACTGTGAGTCACACTGAACCACCGAGGATGCCTGACATCTCACCTCTCAGCCCTTTTTAAAGAATATTCCTGATGGTTAAGAGCATGAGCTCTGAAGCCGGACAGGGCTGTGTGGGACACAGGCAAGCAACGTCCTCTCTCTCCGCATCAGTTTCCACATCTAAGAACAAAAGCACGGTAAGAACCTGTCTCTGGAGATAAGAACGAGCACATGTGAACGAGATTTCAGAGCGTGGCATGACGCCTGGTCTGTGCTAAGCTCCCCATTGAACACAGGTGTCTCCCTCCACAAGGCGGCCCCTGAGAAGTCCCGAAAGTCTCCCTGCTCTACTCCCCCTCAGACCCTGCCTTCTCAGTACTTACCACTTCACTCTGACAACTCGCTTGAAAATCAACCATAATGGTTTACATTATGGTATCTGTATTCATATACCACATAAAAACTGACTGAAATTTAGACTCTAAAAGGGTGAGAATTATATCTACAACTATAGTAATGTGTCTATATTATCAGAAAGGTTCTTGATATCAAATATTGGATCTCACTGACCTCTTAGGTACATTCATATTTGTCTTACTATGTGTATTTATTTTGAGATTTAAAAAATGATCAACTTGCCGGGTCGGGTGTGGCCAGGCCCGGAGCAGCGGCTGCCAGGCTGGGAGCGGCCAGGCCCGGAACAGCCGGGTCGGGTGCAGCCAGGCCCGGAGCAGCAGCAGCCAAGTCCAGAGCAACTAGGTCGGGAGCGGCAGTGACCAGACCCGGAACAGCTGGTTGTGGAACGATCCAGAGCAACAGAGGCCAGGCCCTGAGCAGCCAGGCCCGGAACAGCTCGCTCCTCGCCTGCCCCTGCCCCACGGCTGTCTCTCAGACATGGCTGGAAACTTTCGCGGGAACTTGAGGGTCTGCTGAATCAAGTGATGAAGGCTTAGATCTGGATGTGTTGAGTTAGTGTAGGGCTGGGGTGTTGATCTGTGAGTGCCTTGGGTGGAGCCTGGATGAGGCTAGTTGACCTATTTGGAAATGTTTTTTGTGTGAAGTGTATCATTGGGCATGTGGAGGTATTATTGATATGAGAAAATGCTAAGTAACTGATTTACTATCTGAAAAGGGATTTACAATCGGGGAAAGGGAGGGAAGAAGAGACTGAACATAAACTGTGCACCTATGGATGAGGACAATGGGGGATGGGGAGGGGGCGGAGGGTGGGGTGGGAACCTGGTGGAGGGGGGAAGAAATGAGGAACCTTTGTAATAATATGAATAATAAAGATTGATTTAAAAAAAATGATCAACTTCTATTTAGTATATAGCTTCTAGTACAATACTTAACATTAGAGTCTGTGATCCCAAGTTCTCATAATTAATCACTTGTTGATATTATTTGTGTCATATAATATCTGAGCATCTTTCTCTTATTTTTCCCATAATACTATCTTTAAAAATATACATATTTCTTTATTGATTTCAGAGAGGAAGGAGGAAGGAGAGATAGAAATATCAATTGATCATTGATCGGCTGCCTCCTGCACACCCCCTACTGGGGATCAAGCCCACAAGCCAGGCATGTGCCTTTGGCAGGAATCGTACCTGGGACCCTTCAGTCCACAGTCTGATGCTCTATCCACTGAGCCACGCCAACTAGGGCTATATCTACTTTTTATTCAAACATTTACCAGTCTTTCTTGAAGTATATGGGCATATTTGTGTTATATGCCCGTTCTGGGTTCTCACATTTTGTCCTACTAGTATACTTTCATTGTATTTGAATTATTCATTTGTACTTTGTAAGATCAGAGAACACAGTTTCTAACTTTGCTGCCCAGCCTCAGCTCAAAGACTGGCAAAGGAGCTAAATAAATACTAACTGAACAGACTGCGAGCTTCCATTCGGAAAAGGCCATCCACACTCATGTTCTTTTACTGCGTTAGGACAGTATTCCATGCATGGTGGACCTCCAATGAAAAGGGAAAGTTGCCCTAGCTGGTTTGTCTCAGTGGACAGAGTGTCAGCCTGCGGACTGAAGTGTCCCAGGTTCAATTCCAGTCAAGGCAATTCCAGGTTGCTGGCTCCATCCCCAATAGGGAATGTGCAGGAGGAAGCAGATCAAGAATTCTCTCTCATCATTGATGTTTCTCTTTCTCCTTCTCCCTTCCTCTATGAAATCAATAAAAAAAATATTTTTTTAAAATTAAATTACTATCTGAATAAAAACATATTTTAAAAAAGAAAAGGGAAAGTTAATGAGGGAAGAGCACTAATTTCAATTTCCATTTTCAAAGGAAACACAGTGAGAACAGAAATTGTCTGCCATCATGGGTTCAGCAATAACCCTCCTTTTGTGAGGCAGGAAACATTACACCCAGTGAAAGGCCGGGCCTGGGGCCTGTCACTCTGGGTGGCTTGCTCAGACTTAACCCCTCACTATTGTGTCTTTCCATTATAGCAGAGAAAGAAAGGCCAGAGGAGAAATGAGTGATGGCTCCAGAACTTCTATTAGCAGAGCTTAACACAGCTACCTGGTTGGAATGTTAGGGCCTTGGGGATGTTAGGGCCGAGAGGGAACTCAGAAACTTCAAAAGCTGTCCCCTCAGGACAAATTTCTACTTTCGATAGCATTTGACAGATGATTGCAAGTAGAAGATTTTCTAAAACCATTTGTTCTCATGTTTTAGAAAAGATTTGGAAACATCAACTGTCCACCTAATGGAAGATAACGATGATTTATTTTCCCTCCCCTCTCCCCCCCAAGATAACGATTTTTTAGATAGAGTTGGTTGGATGGGAGGCGAGGGACCGGTAAATGGAGGTAGGTGTGTAAATAAACACCAAACTTGACCTAAGTCTGTGAAATCCTACCCAAGGCTGCCCCTTGCATAGCGCTACCGTCTAAGGAGGGGTGGTCAGCTCTGGGCTTCACCGCCTGCAAAGGGCCGGGCCGTGCCCACGCATCGCCGCTCCCTCCCTTTCCCAGGGACTAAGCATTCCTCCTCCGCTTCCACCCTCACCGCCCTCACCACTCGCTGCCTCGGAAACAGCCCCCAAACCGCCCAGGTTGGCTCTACGGAAAGCTCTTATTTGGCTCGCGAGGCCCAAGAAGCGCTAAAACTCCAACTCCCAACATGCTTAGCTGTGTTTATTTTCGCTACCGCGCAGCCGCAAACGGAAATACGGACTCACGAATGGCGGGGGTTGTAGTTCTCTATCCCTAAGCAGTTCGGTAAAGTGAGGCTTTCCGGAGGGTTCCCTGCAAGACGCGAGACCAAGAAAATAAACATCCGAGTCCGAAGAGGAAAAGCAGCGGAGGCGCATCAGTTACCGCTTCCCTGCCGAAGCCGCAAACCAGGCGGGAGGCGACGCGGCACTCCTTCCCCAGGGGTCCACCGCGCCGCCCGGCGGCGTTATGACGTCACAGCCAGCGGCGCCGGCAGCGGACGCTCTAGCCCGCCGCCCGCCCCGCCCCGCCCCGCCCCGCCCCGCCCCGCCCCGCCCCGCCCCGCCCCGCCCCGCCCCGCCCCGCCCCGCCCCGCCCCGCCCCGCGCCCAGCGGACGCTCCAGCCCGCGGCGTCGCGGCCCGCGCGGGCCGGGGCAGCCCGCCCTCGCGCTCCGCGGGCGCGGAGGCCGGCACACGCGTGGGCGGGGCCGGGCCGGGCCGGGCGGAGCCGGAGGCTGCGGGGGCGGAGGGCGCTGTCTGTTAACTCCGCCCCCCTCCGCAGCCCTCGCCCGCCGCCGCCATGGACCTCGCCGGCAGCGGCTCCCGCTTCCAGTCGGACCTGGCCTTCTGTCCGGACTGCGGCTCCGTCCTGCCCCTGCCCGGGGCGCAGGAGGCCGTCGCCTGCGCTCGCTGTGGCTTCGCCGTCCACGTGCGAGGTGAGGGCTGCGGGCGGGGGCCCGGCCGAGCGCCGGCGGGAGGTCGGAGGCGCCCGGCCGGCGCGGGGCGGGGCGCGGGGCGACGCCGGAGGGAAGGGAGTCGGGCGGCCGGGCCGGCCGGGAGGGCCCGCGCGCCGGCTCCCCGCGCGCCGGCCGACCCGTGCCGTTGTGCGCAGACTTCGAGGGCAAGGTGGTGAGGACCGCGGTCGTGTTCCACCAGCCGGGCACGGCCGTGCCCGCGGCGATGGAGGACGGCCCCGAGCTCCAGGGGCCCGTGGTGAGTGAAGGGCGGGCCCCGCGGGGCAGCGCTGGGCCGGTGCGATAGGAGAGGGGCCTGGGGGGCAGCAGTGCCCGGAGAGGCCAGGAGCGCCGCGCCGCGCCCTCACCACGTGGCTTCCAGGTGGACCGGCGCTGCGCCCGCTGCGGGCACGAGGGCATGGCTTACCGCACCCGGCAGATGCGCTCCGCCGACGAGGGCCAGACCGTCTTCTTCACCTGCATCCGCTGCAAGTGCGTATCCTCGCCCGGCCTGTTGGCTGACTACACAACTCCACTGACTGACTTTTGTCCTGAATAAACAGTTATTTATTTCGTCCCCTCCAGTTTTTTGTACAGTTCTGGTAGTAGGGAGATTTGTGTTCCTTTTATTACACGTTTTCTATCCTTTTAATGCCAATGAACTAAATCTTTTAACATATTTAAGAGGAAATGAAAGACACAGAAGGTAAGTAAGCTCAGTGGCAGCAGTGCTGTTGGCATCTCCCACTGCGCCAGGGCAGCTGTGCTTTGCTGAGAGGGAGCGTGAGTGAGAGCTTTCGGAGCTCCCGTCTCCGGTGCTCTGCAGCTGTACTGCAGTGTAGCAAAATGTGCTTTTAAAAATCTTGTTTCGGATTTGTTGGACTTTACAACATTGAGGATTGATGTTTCTCTTTCCCACATCAGCCTTGGAAAATTAGCCATTGTTTCATTGAATATTCCTTTTCCCTATGTTCTCAATTCTCATATGCTGCAACTCTAATTAATTAGTTATTTATTACACTGTCTATCCTCCATTTCTCTCACCCTTGTTTTTCATATTTCTTGTCTCTTTCTCTCTATGCTGCTTCTGGGTAATTTCTTCAGGTTTCTCCTAGGTCACTAATTCTGTCTTCAGTTTATTTCAGCTTTTATTTTTTTTTTTTATGTAATTTTCTTTGTTTTGTAAAGTTCAGTTTTTTAGGATTTGAATTATGGGAATTCCTTGAAACATGAGATGAATGCTGTATCCTCAGCATTTGTATTTCCTGTTGAGGTCCCTTGAGGCACAAGCCAGAATCACTGTACCTAACTTGGTCCCAGGTTTTTCTCACTATGTAGATAGTATGAATCTGGGCTGCAAGTCCATGCAAGGGTCAGCTGTGGTTAGAAAATCTCAGAGATTTTTCTGCCTCTACCTAGTGACACAAATTCCCCTTCTGCAGAGTTAGACTTTTTTTGTTTACTTTTGCACTGAGGGCTGGCCCTACCTCCTGTCGTACACTGCAGTTCTGTCTCAGTTCCTTCACGTGGCTCCAGACTGCAAGAGGACCGTGGTAGCAGGGGTTTTAGTTTTCACTTCCTTTTCCTTTCCTGGTTTTACATCATTTACCCAATATGAATTGCCTTTACTTTCTTGTCATTTCATCAATGGGTTAAAAATACTGTTAGATATATCTTTTGAGAATATTTCCCCCAGTCTTATCTATTTTATCTATTTTTCTTAACTTTTAAAAAAATGAACAGAAGTTTTAGATTTTTCTTAGGTCCAGTTTATCCTTTTTCTCTCTCTTTTTTATGGCTAGTGCTTTTTGCATTCCAAGAAATATCTGCATACTTCTTGGTTATAATTCTTTAGATATATTTTTAATCCCAGCATTTTTAGTTGGCTCAAAGTTAGAGGATTGTTTATGGGAGGTAGCTTTCCACGGTGTCAGAAATAAAAGCCCTTCCTTGATTACTTGTCTGTCATCTTACACTGCTAGAACCTCTTCCTCAGTCCAGTATAACAAAGCCTTTCTTTCTCCATAGGTTCCAGGAGAAGGAAGACTCTTGATTTTCCTTTTTTTCTGGGCGACTCAACTCCTCCCCTCTCCTCGTCCATGGGAGGTGAAGGGTATTGGTTCCCAGACCCTCGTCCATCCCCTGTCGCAGTATTTGCTCCCCAAGAAGCAGATCTCCAGGTGGGGTCACTGTTGTCCCCAGGCTGCTCCTATTCCTGGTTGAGTTTTCCTATTAAAGCTGTATCTTTCAATAAGACAGATATGTGTATGTTATCTATAATCTGTTTCGTTCCAAATGGAATTCAAATGAGTTCATAGAGATATGTTTGTTCTTTTAACAAATGTATCAACTACAAAAAGAATATACATTAATAAGTGAGAAAGAAAAAGAAAAAGCCAAAAAATTGAAGCCAGCAATGAGACTAATATAAAAAAAGCAATTATAAGTATTTTCTCACTATCTAAATCTATTTGGTTCCCGAGTTTAGGGAATCAAAAAGTGGGGTTTGGATAGTGAGAGATTCAACAGAAAATTTAACAAGATCTTTTTGCTATGTAAGTTTGCACAACAAAAAACGTGATACTAAGGTATACCAGTGTGCACTTACTTCAGGTGAACATTTTGGAAAATGTTTTTTTTATTGCTCTTGAGTTAAATGTAATATACACTGAGTGGCCAGATTATTATGATCTCTGAATGCATAATAATCTGGCCATTCAGAGTGTGTGTGTGTGTGTGTGTGTGTGTGTGTGTGTGTTAGTGTGTTAGAAGCCCAGTGCATGAATTTGTGAATGGGTGGGGGTCTGGCCAGTCTGGCCAGGGGGCGGGGACATGGGCAGTTGGCTGGCCTGCCTGCTAGTTGAATTCATGGTTGAGGGGACAATGTGTATATTAGCCTTTTATTATATAGGATATACACTGAGTGGCCAGGTTATTATGCGTCCAGAGATCATCATCATCTGGCCACTCAGTGTATATTGTAATAGGTTGATATATAGAAAGAAAAAAAGACTACAAGGAATCCCAACCCACAGAGATACTTGTTTTCTTTTTTTTAATATCTTTATTATTTATTATATTTTTATTGAGTTTTTACAGAGAGGAGGAATAGAGGGATAGAAAGCTAGAAACATCGATGTTTAACCCATTGATCAGCTGCCTCTTGCACACCCCCTACTGGGGATGTGCCCGCAATTAATGAACATGCCATTCACTGGAATTGAACCTCGGACCTTCCAGTCCACAGGCCAACGCTCTATCCACTGAGCCAAACCGGTTTCAGCACTACTTGTTTTCTTAATGGGTATGCTGTACATACTGAATGGCATCTTGCTATTTTCAGATTGAACTATAAACTTTAAAGGGGAAAAAATACACAGTCCAGGCACAATAAACATTCAAATTGCAGTCTGGGAATCAGTATTCCTGCATTCATTGGCTTAAATGGTGCTCAGGGGGTGAAAGTAATAATGATTATCTTGTAATCGCGTGGCTTTTGTGTACTCAGAGCTCTCAAACACACCGTCTCGTTTAACCCCTCAGCAACGTTGAGGGTAGGCAAAGCCGTCCCTGCATTGTGCATATGAACGGTTCTGGCAGTTACTTGCTTGCCTCCTGAAATCTGAAACAAGTCTGTTTGCGTTTCTACCCTAGGTTAAGCCTTTCCGTGACCCATAACTGACTGGATCAAGTCCAAGTTTCCTAGCAAGGCATACAGAGCCTCCCATATAACAGCCTACCTGCCAAGCCTCCTTGGCGCTCCCTTTATATCCCACCTTTGTACCCATCTGGGACTCTAAGCTGCTCTTTGTACCTAAAAAAATCCCACACATCCCTTCGCCTTTGTGGTCCCTTTGCACCACTGCTGCTCCCTAAGAAACATGCACATATTTTTTTCATAGCATGAATTGTTCCATATTATAATTTATGACCATTTCTCCGCTTTCTCTTACTCCTTGCCCCAGAGAAAACATTGGCTGTGTACAGCTAAGCTCTTCACAGGTGAGATTTACACATGCACTAATATCCCAGTGTCTCACATTTTGTAGGTGCTGAGCCTACCAATCTCCCCACCCTCTGGGGGCTAGAAGGCAGGATCAGGGTGTTTCATGCACCTCCATCTCCAAGGCCTGGTGCCATCACAGGACTGTCCCAGCCCGTGCACGCGCGCCTGCTCAGACGCTTCCAGGCAGAGGACAGGTCCTAGAACCCAGATCCTGTCTTTTTGTTAATCCTCACTGAATGGTTGCAGTTGGTGGTGCATAGGTGGGCTAAATAGCAATCTCAGGAGGTAAACAGAAAAATGGAATTTATTTAAAGAAAAGGAGATGGGGATATCCAAAGGGAAGGGCTACACAGCACTGGATTGATGATGGCAGTAAAAATATAAAATATACTTAAGACAGTGAAACAAGTATAGAGAAATAACAGCCTGGGGGGAGAGGGGCTGTTCCAGGTCACCGAGAAGTCAGAGAAAAGGGGGCCTTGGAGACAAGTTTGGGGGTGAGCCTGGGACAAGCTACGCTCCCCATTCTCTTCTGGTTGCAAGTCTCCTGGTCCCTTAGAGGAGGGTAGGGGCAGGGACCCGCCGAGGGCGCTCCGGAGGAGACTCTCAATGGGGAGGGTCCTCCATCCGCGTTTCCAGAAGTGACAGCTTTCCCGGGGCGCCCTTGGTCCGGAGGCAGCCACTGCACCGCCTGTAACTGCTCTCCGGGGCCTGGAGCTGGACGGCTGATGCAGCCCCAGGAGGACAGGCCGGTCCGAGGACCGATGACCGGGAGGCCAGGGCGCGCTGACAGCTGCCGGCGGGAGCTGCCGGCCTCGGCTGTCTGCACCCGGCCCCTCGTCCTTGTTCTGCTCACGCCTGTGAAACACCGTTCTTTCCATTGGTTTTCTGAGAGTGGAGGGGGGGGGGAGAGAGGGAGGGAGAGCAGCGCCCATGGAGACACGTCTATTGGCTGCCTCCCTGACCCGGACGCTCAGGGCCGCCCCGGCTCCCGGCCTCTGTGACTCCCAGAGGAACAACGAGGAGACAAGGGCCGCCACCGTCGCTCCTCAGTTCCCGCCCGCGCAGCGATGGAGGCGGCGGGTCGGGCCTCACGGCGCCCCCTTCCGGCCGCCCTCGCCCCGGCGCCTGCGCACTGCTACGACCCGCGGGGCGCGCTCGGCCGCGCCTGCGCAGCCGCAGTTAGCGCCGGGCGGACCCCGGGCGGCGTCACACCCGGAAGCGGGGGGCCGGAAGTGGGCTGCACGGGCTGTCCCCAGGGGTGGGGAGGCGAGGCCCAGAGGAGGGGAAGGGAAGGTGGACGGTCCCGGCCGCCAGTCGGAGTGGGACACGCAGCCTCGGGCCGCGGGGACGCAGAGCGAGGGAAGGGCGTCTCCTCCCTCCGCCCCTCAGCCCGAGCCATGGCCGAGGCCGGGCCCGGGCTGAGTGAGACCGTCACTGAGACAACGGTTACCGTGACGACCGAGCCCGTGAGAAAGGCGGGGGGCGGTGCCGCGTCGGGGTCTGGGAGGCACCGGGAGGGCGGGGATAGGCCCGGGAGAGCTGCGGGCGCCGGGCTGGGAACGTGGGAGGAGTGGGGGTGGGAGAAGCCAGGACTTGGGATATTCGCAGTGGAGAGACGCGCAGGTTGGTCGTGACAGGCTCGGATGTAGGGATGCTGCTTGGGTGGCGGTGCGTGCGCGGAAGGACGGGGACGGAGGGTTCTGGAGCGCGGAAGGGCCGGCCGCAGGGAACTTGGAAGCATGCATGTCAATAACTCTGCGGAAGGAGTGAATGTAAAAGGAAGCAGAGAAGGAGGGGACAAAACAAAAGGAGATGAAGATAATATTTGAAAAAAATCAGAGATGTAAATAGAGAAAAAGGTAGCATTTTTGCAAAAACAGGTTAGGTGGTTTTCAAAGGGAGACGGTTGCATTGGGCTTCATAACACCTGGATTGAGAGGGTGTAGAATAATGATTCCCAGAGATGCTAGGGGATCGGTGAGTCAGAGGTAGGGAGGGCTCTGAAAAAGAGATCACAGATTAGGCTTTGAGACAGAAACTAAATACCAGCAAGATGAGTTGGGGAAGAAAATGGAGAAACAGTGAGGGTTGTGTTTCCTTTGAAGATTTCTGGGTTGGGAATCTCTAGGTTAGGAATTGTGACTTCCTTGTACACTAGAGGTTATCAAGAACAGAATACACTTCCCGGTTCCTGCCGGAGTCAGAGGCCTGTTCTAGTTGGTCCCCCACCGGGCTCTTCTGGTGCTGAATGCACTCGGGAGGCCCGAGAGGGAACTACATGGGTGTGCCCACCTCTCACCCTAGGAGAACCGGAGCCTGACCATCAAACTGCGGAAACGGAAGCCGGAGAAAAAGGTGGAATGGACGAGTGACACGGTGGACAATGAACACATGGGGCGCCGCTCATCAAAATGTGAGTGGTTGCGGCCACGGTAACCCGGGCTCCCCCCCCAACCCCCATCCCCCCACCCGGGCGCGGGCTTCCGCCTCCTCCCGTCCCCTGGCCCTCCCGCAGCCCCGGCTGCCCCTGCCCGGTGGTCCTCCGGCATCAGGGAGAGGAGGTTAAAATGAGAGGCACGGAAGGGCTCAAATTGGGATGGGATGTCCCAAGGCTTGAAGGCAAGGGGTGTCAGGGGTAAGAGAATGTAGCTTTGGCTCTCTCAGAGGATTATGGGGGTGAGTGTCTGAGTGCCAGCGGGTGACCCTGGGGAAGCAGGAGTCCATAGTGGAAGTAGGAATTCTGGTAGAGCCCATGGGAAGGGAACTGACCGGAGATCTTCCTCTCCCTCCTTTTTAATGGCTCCTCCCAACGCAGGCTGCTGTATTTATGAGAAACCACGGGCCTTTGGTGAGAGCTCCACCGAGAGTGATGAGGAGGAAGAGGAAGGCTGTGGTCACACACACTGTGTACGGGGCCACCACAGAGGACGGAGCCATGTGACCCCTGGACCGAGCCCCACCACCCCTTCCCAGCCCCCTGACCGCTCTCAGCCCCCTCCAGGGCCAATGCAGCACTAAATTCCTCTGCCCCCCACCATTTCTGTGTCTGGCCCTGACTACTCATGTTGCTACTTGGGGACTAACCCATGGTTTGATCATTCTCCAGCCCCACCCACCTCTCTGTCTGGAGGAGGGAAGGAGAGAAGGGGGACGGAGATCCTGGAATCCTGATTTGCTGCTATTCTAGAACCCAGGCTTCTGGGCTGCCCAGCCCTCATGGTTCTTGTCATTCCCCCCAAGACCCAACCTCCCCCCCAGGATCTAGGCATCTTGGCCCCAGCTTCTTCCCTTCGCTCGCACTGTCAGTCGCCAGCCCGGGGTCCAGCTCTCTCCGCTCCCTCACTCTACTTGAGTCCCAAATGCTTAGACTGGGACCCCAACAGCCCCAGCTTTCACTGCCAGGGTCCGGGCAGGTCCAGGCAGTCCTGTCCCCGCTGCGCTTCAGCCCTGGCCTGGAGCCCTTCCCTAACGCGCTTGTCTTCACACGGTCCGCGCCCGGTCCTTGCGGTGGTGAGGGGTCTGGGAGCTCCCGTGCCCTCTCGTGCCCTCAGGAGTTCGGGAGAAAGGTCTGTGTCATTCTCACCTTTAATGGGAAATGGAAGAAACAGACATGGCCTCTTCCCTCACCCTTCACGTGTGGCCTAGGGCTCTGACAGCTGGCGTTGAGAGGGCCACTCAGGCCAGCTGTCTCCTCAGCGTGGTCTGCCGGCTCCAGAGACATCCCACGTGCAGGGAGAGGAGGAAGAGAGCAGAGAGGAGGGCATGCCCCCTACGCCCCTCACCCCTTCCCTCCCGGGCTCCGATGTCTGCCAGGCCAGCCTCCGCTCCCTTGCTCTCCTTGGGGTCTGAGTGTCCTGTCCGGGCGCTTGCCACGCACACTTGCAGAAATCAGTCAGATCACCACCACGGAGATCCCGTTTATTGCCACAGATGCACAAATAAATAACCCAACATCTCAAATGTGTTACATACAGGCCCTTTATACATGAGGGGTAGACAGGGGTGAGGCTACACAGGATGCCTGAGGTGTCAGCCACCCCAGGTTGAGGAAAGGAGAGGTAGTGCTATGGGTTTCTTTTTCTTTTTTTTTTCCTGAGAGGAGGAAGAGGGAGGAAGAGCGATTGAAACATCAGTGATGAGAAAGAATCATTGATCGGCTGCCTCCTACACATCCCCTACTGGGGATCAAGTCTGAAACCCAAACATGTTCCTGGCGGGAAAAAACCTTGGACCCTTCACTTCGCAGGCTAACGCTCTCCAGAGCCACACGGGCTGGGCCTTGCTGGCGGCTTCTCACTGGAGCAGTGCAGGGGGTGGTTTAGAGAAGTTCCTCATGGGAAAAGCCTGACGGTGGGAAGCCGTCACCGTGGAGTAGGGCCCCCCAAAAAGAAAACTGACACAAGCTTCCTAGAGAACCTGAGGGCGAGCCCCGCCTCTGCCTCCAGGAGGAGGTCCTGCTGCCCTGGAGAAGCCTGACAAGGAGGCAGCAGGCCTGGGGGCTGGGCCTCGGTTGAGACCAGCAGAGGCGGAAGTGGAGGGGAATATGTGAAGCACCTGGAGCAGCCCAGATGGGGGAGGGGCAGATGGGGAGCAGCTCCCAAGAAGCGGGGTGCAATGGGTTGGGCCCCGGGGGTGATGTGGAAACAGGCCAGCTGAGTCTCACTGTGGGAGACAGATACAATGGAGGTGGGCAGGGTGCTCGTCGGAGCTCTGGCTGCGGCGGGCGGGCGGGGACAGGCCCCTGGCGGCGGGCGGCCGGCAGGCTCAGCCCTCCGCCGGCACGATGCGCAGTGGGGCGCGAGGGTCGCGCGTGCAGAGCAGAGGGAAGACGCGCTGCCCCAGGGGCCCGGGGGCCTGGAAGGCGAACAGCAGGTCCAGCGAGCGGCCGTCGTAGAAGGCCACGCGGCCCCGCTCCCAGTCCAAGTCCACGCGGATCCGCCGCGGCGGGGGCCCGGCGCCGCCCAGCGGGGTGGGCTCGGGGGCCGTGAGTGCCCACAGGCGGCCACCGCGGCCCTCCACGGCCCACACAGAGCCCACAGGGCACAGCCCCACGCGGCCCTTGCGCTGCACCGACTCCCCGGCCGCACCTAAGGCGTAGTGGCTCTCCGCCTCCTCGTCCTCCCCAGCAGGGGCTCCGCCCGAGGCGGGCTCGGCGGTCTCCACCTCCCAGCAGTGGCGGCCCGCCCCGAAGCCCTGCTCGCCCAGCACCGCCGGGAGCTGATCGAAGCGCGCTGGGCTGTCAGGGGGCTCTGGTGTCCCTGGGGGGGCCAGCCGGACGCTGCGGCGGTCAGCGGAGATGAGCAGGCAGCGGTGGGCAGTGCTGGGGTCCAGGGTCAGGTCGGCTGTGGAGCACAAGACAGGAGGGGGCCGAGAGAGGGGGTTGCTGAGTCAGGGGGCGCAGGACCAGCGAGAGGCCTGGGGCCGCGCCACGGGCTGTGGGCTGAGGAGGTGAGGACCTATGCAGGGTAGGTCCAGGCAGGCCCGGCCCGCGCACCCATGGCCCTTCCTGTAGAACTGGCCTTGGACCGGAGAGAGCACCAGGGCAGGGGTGGGAGAGAGGCTGGCCTGACGAGGAATGAGGCCTGGCACCTCCATCTGCAGAATCGGGTGGGGCTGGGCGCGGGGCCAGCAGGACAGAGTGATACCAGATGCCGGAACCCCAAGTGTCAGAGGGAGGGGCGGGAGGAATCCCAGGCATCTGGAGAAACCAGCCCCCTCAGCACAGGGACAGATGGGAGTGGACAGGCTACTTCCACAGGGAGAGGCGAGAGCAAAGGGGCCAGAGCAGGCGTTCTTGGCCTTGAGCGTACGGGTGCCTGAGAAGAGATCTCTGGATTCGGGGTACAAGAAGCCACCTGGTGGGCGGGTGCTGGGTGAGCGGGAGGTGGAGGCAGGGACTCCCAGCAGCTGCAGAGGCAGCCTAGTCTCGGGCAGAGAGGAGCGGAAGCAGGGGCTCCTGAGGCCCTGACCTTTGGGTCTGTGTCTGAGCGGTGAAGGGAAGGGGAAGGATGGCGGGAATATAAGGGCCATTGGTAGGCATTGGATCAGAATGTGACCTTATTTGGGAACAGTCTTTACAGAGAAACCAAGTTACAATGAGGTCAGGAGGGTGGAGCCTAGTCCAGCATGAGCAGTGCCTTATAAAAGGGGAAGGTTGGGCCTGGAGACAGAGGGTCCAGAGGGAACACAGGAAACCAGGAGACAGCACCTACAGGCTGAGGGCCGGCAGGGCCCCAAGGCGGGGGAGTCAGGACCAGCCCTGCCGCAAGGCCCCGCGGCCAGCACCTTCGTGAGCCGGTGCTCGGGCCCCTGCATGAGGCTGTCACAGCTCCCTAGGACCCGACGCCGCCCAGAGGGCTCGGCGGCTTTGAGACAGAAGGGAGCAGACCGACACCTCCCCGCGCCCTTACCCGCCAGCCGGTGCAGCATGTTCCTGACCACGGGGTAGTCCTCGGGGAGCTTGTCCTCCGGCTGGGATGGCTTGGGGGTGGGGGCACCAAGTCTGGACAAACGAGGGAGAAAGGTCACCCTCTGCCTTCTGTTGCCCGCCTCCTACCATATGGCACCTCGGGCGCAGGGAGGGGTGAGGCACCAGGAACCCTGTCTGAGTGGGTGAAAGGAGCGCCCTGGGAGAAGGTGATGGGTGGGCAGCTGGGGGTGGACAGGAAGGAAGAGGGGAGGGGGACTCACCTTCTCCATGTCTCCCTCATGTCCTGGGGGCAGAGGAAAAGGATGTGAGCTGAGCTTTATAGGTGGGGAGCCCTCCCCACCGCCGGCTCAGGTGAGCGGGTCAGAGGGGTGAGCCCCATCTCTCCCCTGTGCTCCCCATTGCGTCTCCTCTCGCCAGCCCCTCACCGCACCCCATTCTCCTACCGCCACCAGGCACTGTCCTGCCCGTCCCCAAGGCCTCAGCGCCCGCCTGCCCCTTCCTGAGGGTGTGCCCCTTTACATCAATCACAGACCACACACATCGGAGCCCTCGGGGAAGGCTCGCGCTTTAAAGCCTCCCAGTAAAGCTGCTTCACTTGGGCCATAAAGCGCAGCGCGTTTATTGGGCCTTTGCTCTGTGGCCTGTGGTCTTGGGCCAGCGAGGCAGCCGGCCGGGCCCAGGACGCCCGGCATGACACCGGCGAGCCGCCCCGCCCGGCCCCGGGGCAGCGGAGGGGAGGAGGAAAGGCTGCCCAATTGTGCCAACTACACCTCAACCGAGGGTTCTATCTGCCTGGACTGCAAAGGGGCGGGGGGGGGGGGGGAGGCCCGAGGCGGCTTGGCTGCCGGGGAGAAGCGGGACTCTCGCAAGGGGACGGGGCTGACTGCGGACCCGGAGGGGCGCGGCCGCGGGTGGGTGACGAGGCTGGGAAGGGGGAGCCGAGCCCCCGGCCGCTCCTCCAGGTCCCGCCGCCCTGCCCGCCCGCGGCCTGGGAGGAGTCGCGGCAACAACAACAAACAACCCGGCCTGCGGCGGCGGGGCTCCCGGACCTGCACCCTCCGCCAGGTCCCCCCCGCCTCCCCAGGCAGCCCCTCGCTCCGCCTGCCCCCCGCGCGGGAGAGGCGCCCAACCTCCCTCCTTCCTCCGCCTCGCCCGCCCGCCCGCCGCGGCCTCACCTCCCCCGGCGGGTCCAGGCTGCCCATGGTGGGGATGCGGCCGCCGCGGCGCCTCCGGGCGCGGGCCCCCGGCTCGGCCAGGCGCTCCCGCAGCGCGCGGCTGATGCGCACCTCCACGGCCAGGCGCACGTGCGAGCGCAGGCTGCGGCGCGGGCAGGGCTGGCCGCAGCGGGGGCAGGCGGGGGCCTCGGGGCCGGGCGCCGGCGCGGCCCCCCAGCGGCGGGCCAGGCACGCGCGGCAGAAGCTGTGCTCGCAGGCCAGCAGCACCGGGTCCTCGAAGGGGCCCCCGCACAGCGGGCACGTCGCCAGCTGCGCCAGGCGCTCCACCAGCCCGGGGCCCGGCGGCTCCATGGGAAGCCGTGTGCGCCGGCCGCGCTCGCCGCTCTGCCCTCTGCGCCGGCCCCTCCGTCCAGGCTGCGGCCTCGCCCCCGCGGCCGGCTTTATAGGGAGGGAGGAGGCCGGGGAGGTAAACAGCGCCTTGCGCAACTCCCCTGGTTCTCCCGCGTCCCGCAGGGCTGGGGAGGGGGGGCGGAAAGGACGCCGGGTCCTCCAACCGGAGGGGGTCGCCAGGGGCGCGCCGGGGGCCAGGTGGCCGATGTGGGGAGGGGTAGTCCCCTCTACACCCCCCCCCCCCAAGCCTCACCTCCCCCGCCGGTGGCGGGCCGCGGGCAGGGTGCCCACATCGCCCGGGAGTGAGTCACTCCAGGTGCCTGGCACACCCACTCCTGGGGGCGGGCCGGAAGCAGGATCCGGCTCGTGCGGCTCGGGCCGGCCTCTGAGTGCCGGCGCGGCGGCCTCCGGGCGCCTCTCCCAGCTCTGGGCGTTAGGACCCTGACGCTCTGGGTGCGGGTGGGAGCCGGGCCCACCCTCCCGCCTCCAGGAGTCAGGGTGGGCGCTCGGCGGTGCTCCTGGCGGGCGCCCAGGTCCTCGCGCCTTACTTTCTTCTGTGTCTCTAGTTCTTCATTTTCCCTGTGTGTGTGTGATTTTCTCTCTACCCTTTTTCTCGCCTTCCTTTAAGATGTGTCTAAGGGTTATCTATTTCAAATCTCTTGGTAAACTGAGGCCGAGAGCTGGCACTGCCAAGGTCCCAGATCTTCTCATTTTTTCATTTCAGGTTCCTAGGACTCCTTTCTGCTCCCTGATATATCCTGATCTTTCTTGTGCTCTCTCTCCTCGCCTCCATCTCTGCGCTTCCCTCCTCCTCCCCTCCCCTTCTCCGCCCTCTCTGCTCCCTCTTCCTCCCACTCTGCCACCTGTCTCCAGCCAGGCCTTCTGCCTGGATACCCTCCAGCGTTGTGAATAAGTAAACATGCAGGTGCCTGCAATTGTGGTCACACACACACTGTACAAACACGCATGTGCATCCACCAGTGTCCAAATGCCCCCAAGTGCAGCCTGACAGCACCTTCCCCCAATGCAGACCTCACACAGACACCAGTAGTCTCACGCTGGCATCACAGGGACACACACAGGCATTCCCCCGGGACAGACGGGCTGCTGGGCGGGGGGGCATTGGCGTTGCTGTCCAGGAGAACAGCGCCCTGTCCCGAGGCAGCCCTCCAGGCACCCCTGCCCCGGCCTGGGCGCACTCAGACACCCACCACACGCACACTGACAGACTGCGCTCAGCGCTCACCACCCCGTGCGAGGCTCCGAGGATCGGATGGTTCCGTTCTGTCAGGTCGAGCACTGGTCGCGAAGACCTGCCGTCCTAATCCCGGCACGTGACTGGGAGCTCAGGGACGGGGGAATTAGGTAGGCAGCGTGGCTCAGAGGAGATCACAGCTGACCGGGTCAGAGCACATGCCTGGTCTGGGCTCCATCCCGATTGATGATTCTCTTTCATCATTGATGTTTCTCTCCTCTCACTTTCTCTCTGAAATCAAGAAAAATACATTTTTCAAAAAGTTTGTAGGTGGAATTCCGGTTGCTAATTAGTTCAGTTTGAACAGGGAGATCATTCCAAATTAACCAGTGGGCCCAATATAATCAAAGACCCTACAAAGTGGAGGACAAAACCGGAAGAGGACAAGCAGAGAGACTGAGCGGGAGGGGGACTGCGCTGCTTTGAAGGCGGGGGGGGGGGGGCAGAGGGGCCGGCCTTGGGGCGCGGGCGAGGGCTGGCTCCCCGCCTGCCGCCCGCCTGCCCGCACCTGGACTCAGACTCGGAGCCCCAGGTCAGACTTCTGACCCCAGCGCTGCAAGAAAGAAACGGCCGTTCCTCACATTTCCGCGCGGGTGACCGCGGTGACAGCAGTAAGCGGGGCCGGAGCCGCGTCCCCGCCCCGCGGGCCGCCGCCTCTGCTCCGGCTGGACGCCGGCCTCCGGCCTCTCCGTCCTCCCGCACTCTCTCTGGGTGTCGCTCTATTTGTTTGGCTCCACCCCCACCCCAGGGCCTCAGACACTGGGTTCCTGCTGAATCCGGGCCCAGCGTATTGGGGGCCTGCCTCCGGTCCCCGCGGGTCCCCTGAGCAGCCGTGTGTCCCTGAGTCGTCGTCCCCAGGCCGTCCCTGTGACACTGAGTGAGCCTGTCCGGGCGCCGGAGGGCTGCCCCCCCACTCCCCCGGCATTGAGACATCCACCAGAGGAGCCAGAGGCCTGACCAGGCAGAGGCAGCCTCCTCGCAGCCTGGCCTCCCCCTAGCCTCCTGTCCCCTCAGCCTCCTGTCCCCCCTCAGCCCCCTGTCCCCTCAGCTCCCCGTCTCCCCTCAGCCGCTGTCCCCCCCTCAGCCCCCTGTTCCCCCTCAGCCCAGTCCCCTCAGCCCCCTGTCCCCTCAGCCAGCAGTCCCCTTACCCCGTCCCCCTCAGCCCAGTCCCCTCAGCCCCCCGTCTCCCCTCAGCCCGCTGTCCCCTCAGCCCCCCCGTCTCCCCTCAGCCCCCTGTCCCCCCTCAGCCCCCTGTCCCCTCAGCCGCTGTCCCCCCTCAGCCCCCTGTCCCCCCTCAGCCCCCTGTCCCCTCAGCCGCTGTCCCCCCTCAGTACCCTGTCCCCTCAGCCCCCTGTACCCTCAGCCCCCCGTCTCCCCTCAGCCGCTGTCCCCCCTCAGCCCCATGTCCCCCCTCCGCCTCCTGTCCCCTCAGCCCGCTGTCCCTCCTCAGTACCCTGTCCCCTCAGCCTTCTGTCCCCTCAGTACCTTGTCCCCTCAGCCCCCTGTCCCCTCAGCCCCTGTCCCCTCAGCCCCTGTCCCCTCAGCCCCCTCAGCCCCTGTACCCTTAGCCCCTGTCCCCTCAGTCCCCTGTCCCCTCAGCCCCTGTCCCCTCAGCCCTCTTTCCCCCCTCAGTACCCTGTCCCCTCTCAGCCCCCTGTCCCCTCAGCCTTCTGTCCCCTCAGCCTCCTGTTCCCTCAGCCTCCTGTCCCCCCTCAGCCTCCTAACCCTCAGCCTCCTATCCCCCCAGTCCTCTGTCCCCTCAGCCCCCTGTCCCCACAGCCTCCTGTCCCCTCAGCCCCCTGTCCCCCCTCAGCCCTCTGTCCCCTCAGCCTCCTGTCCCCCTCAGCCACCTGTCCCCCCAGTCCTCTGTCCCCTCAGCTCCTGTCCACTCAGCCTCCTGTCCCCCCTCAGCCCCCTGTCCCCCAGTCCTCTGTCCCCTCAGCCTCTGTCCACTCAGCCTCCTGTCCCCCCTCAGCCCCCTGTCCCCCCCTCAGCCCCCTGTCCCCTCAGCCCCCTGTCCCCTCAGCCTCCTGTCCCCTCAGTCCCTGTCCCCTCAGCCCCCTGTCCCCTCAGCCCGCTGTCCCCTCAGCCTCCTGTCCTCCCTCAGTCCCCTGTCCCCTCAGCCCCTGTCCCCTCAGCCCCTGTCCCCTCAGTCCCTGTCCCCTCAGCCCCCTGTCCCCTCAGTCCCTGTCCCCTCAGCCCCCTGTCCCCTCAGCCCGCTGTCCCCTCAGCCTCCTGTCCTCCCTCAGTCCCCTGTCCCCTCAGCCCCTGTCCCCCCTCAGCCCCTGTCCCCTCAGCCCCCTGTCTCCTCAGCCAATGTCCCCTCAGCCCGCTGTCCCCCCTCAGCCCCCTGTCTCCTCAGCCCGTCTCCTCAGCCGCTGTCCCCCCTCAGCCCTTGTCCCCTCATCCTCCTGTCCCCTCAGCCCTCTGTCCTCTCAGCCCCCTGTCCCCTCAGTCTCCTGTCCCCCCTCAGCCTCCTGTACCCTCAGACCCCTTTCCCCCCAGCCCCCTGTCCCCTCAACCCCCTGTCCCCCCTCAGCTCCCTGTCCCCTCAGCCCCCTATCCCCCCTCAGCCTCATGTCCCATCAGACCCTGTCCCCTCAGCCCCATTCCCTCAACCCCCTGACCCCCCTCAGCCTGCTGTCCCCTCAACCCCTGTCTCCCCTCAGCCCGCTGTCACTTCAGCCTCCTGACCCCAGTTCCTGTTCTGCTCACTATACCTGCCTCAGTTTTCCGTGTTTTAGAAACTGTTTATTTCTGTCAGCCTCACTGCCATGCCATGTCAGAGTCTGTGGAAATGTTACAGAAAACTGAAGAAGAACCAAGCAGCACTTAGATGGAATTACATTTATTTATTTTATTTTTTAAAAATAAATCTTTATTGTTCATATTATTACAAATGTTCCTCATTTTTTTCCTCCCTCCATTGCACCCCTCCACCAGATTCCCACCCCACCCTCTGCCCTTTCCCCACCCCACATTGTCCTCATCCATAGGTGCACAGTTTTTGTTCAGGCTCTTCCCGCATCCACCACTCACCCTTTCCCCCGAGAATCGTCAGTTCACTCCCCTTCCATATCTCTGATTCTATTATATTCATCAGTTAATATTGATCATCAGGTTTTTTAATACCCTTGTTTTTTAGATTCACTTGTTGATAGTTACATATTTGTTGTTCATAATTTTTATCTTTATTTTCTTTCTCTTCCGAAAGAACCCCCTTCAGCAATTCATATAGTTCTGGTTTGGTGGTGATGAACTCCTTTAGCTTTTTTTTTTTTTATTAGTGAAGCTCTTTATCTGGCCTTCGATTCTGAGTGATAGCTTTGCTGGGTAGATTATCTTTGGCTGTAGGTTCTTACTATTCATCACCTTGAATATTTCTTGCCATTCCCGTCTGGCCTGCATGGTTTCTGTTGAGAAGTCAGCTGACAATCGTATAGGTGCTCCTTTATAGGTAACTACCTTCTTTGCTCTTGCTGCTTTTAATATTCTCTCTTTGTCTTTTGCTCTTGGAATTTTAATTATGATTTGTCTTGGTGTGGTCGTCTTTGGATTCCTTTTGTTTGGAGTTCTGTGCTCTTCCTGGACTTGTAAGTCTAATTTTCTCACCAGGTGGGGGAAGTTTTCTGTCACTATTTCTTTCAGTATGTTTTTGGTATTTTGCTCTCTCTCCTCTTCTTCTGGGACCCCCATAATTCTGATG